GTCCGGCGGTACCGACCCGGGGGTGCCGGCTCGGCGGTACCGGTCCGGCGGTACCGGTCCGGCGGTACCGGCGCTGCGGGCGGCGGGTTCCGCGGGCGCTGTCCGCTCGCCGCGGTGCTGAAGGGCCGGGCGGGGCGGGGTGGGGGCGGCCGCTCCGGGCCGGGTCCCTCTGCCCCTCGCTCGCACGGGGCGGGGGGGTGGCCCTGGAGACCCTGAGGACGCGGAGGGTCCCCGGGGGCTCTGAGGGGCACGGAGGGTCCTTGGAGGGGAGTCTCCATGGGGTCCTGGAGGTTCTGGGGGGCTCGGGGTGCTCTGCCGGGCACAGAGCATCCTGGGGGTGCTCTGGGAGTCCCGGGGGCTCTRCGACGCTGTCCTGTCGGGCAGATGCTCGCTGCTACCTCACACCCAGCGCCCACATCTCCGTACCCCTTTTGTGAGGAGGCTGAAGCTCCCTCWTTCCTGAAAAAGACCCTCTGGCCACCCCTCTCCCTGTCCCTGGTCCCCACTGCTAAGGACAGTGTCCACCGAGGGGCTTTTTATTATTGTTTTGTCATGCACGATTTTTCAGGCATGAAATTGGTCTAAGAGGATTACGGTCCATTATCATCAGCAGGACTGTTTTGCTGGGATTTTCAATTAATATTCCGGTGTACCCTAGGAATTCTCCATAGGGGCACCTATGGAGGGGCACCAGCTGCACCCAGCTGAGCTCCCTCCTCTCGCTGGAGCAGCAGAGCAAGTGGGTGGGCAAAGGTGAGTGCTCAGCAGGGCCGTCTCAAAGCCCTGGCACTGCTTTTATCTCGGCTGCTTGTGGATCTCAACCTTCCCCRGCGGAGAAAAACTTGTTCCATTGTTTGAGAGGGTGAAAAACCCATTATCTCCCCCCTCCACTTTGCGCGCTGCCTCTGCCRTGATTTACTGCGAGGCGTGGAGGATGTTGTGCTCTATATTACACAGACGCAGCTTAATAGTGTGGGGGAGGGAGCGGGACACRGCGTCCAGGCTCCTGCCTTCTCGGTTTTCTTGTTGATCTACCAGGTGACTCGAGGGAGAGAGCTCCGTGCTGCAATTTCCTCAGTGGAAAACAGGGATGCTGGTCACTCAGCCTTGTAAAAGTGCTCCGACATTCCTGAGTGGCCAGCTCTGCAAGGGAAAGCAAACTCTTATTATTGCGGCTAATATAATGATAATTATGATTATTAATCACCAGGCAGCCAGAATTTGAGGTTGGCCTCCTGCCCTCCTGTCATCCCATAAATCAGAGCTGGATGTTCACGGACGCATCACGTGGACAAGGACGTGGCTGATGACACAGGCACGTGCCAGCTCCAGAGCTGTCCCCAGAGGACATCGGGTCCCTGCTATGAGCAGGGGACCTCAGAGACCCCTCTGTCCCCATGGCCAGGCCCAGGGCTATGGAGCAAGCAACTCGGAAGGCTTGTCCTGCCCTGGGCTTGGCGGTGAGGCCCTTTCACCTGCCCCTTTTCCATCCCGTGGGTCTCACCGCAATGCCCAGCTGATGGAAGAGCCTCTCTTGCCCAGCCTCCTCCCCTCCAGTTCCCTTCGGGCTCTCCCAGTGCCCCCAACTTGTCCCCGCTGCRTCCTCGCTCCGGGCTCCTTTCAATTCCCCGAGCTTCTCCTGGACTTAAGCATATGCTTGCAGTTAATCCCGTGCTTACATTTTATCCCAAATAGGGAGAATTGGGGTCTCTGGGCAAATTCTCCTGCTGTTCGAGGCGGCTGAAGGGCTCCCTCTAATTCAACTGCTTGGTAATCCTTGCACTCTCCTTCCTCTGCTCCCTTCTCCTCTCCTGCMCCTCTCCTCCTCCTCAGAGAGCCTTTCTGATGCTTAAACCATGGGAAACCATCCAATTCCCAGGGAACRGAGACTCAGGTGCCCTCCCCCTCCACCTCCCTGCTCCCCCCTCACCCTGTCCCTGCACCATAAATTCATAAAAAGCCACCTGCAAAGGTCCAGCCTGAGTGCAATCAGAGACATATTTGGTTGGCGGGAGCCAGGGGATTCCAAATAATAACAGCAGGAAGGAAAATATTTGCACTTTGCTGGGAGTTATAACCCGGGGGCTGCAGCAGGTGGGGGCTGGAGAGCCTGGGGCGTCCAGCTGTGGAGCCTGTGGGACCCGGGAGCAGCCGGGAGTGGAGGAGAGCCCCGATGCTGGGAAAGGGGCTGTGGGTCTGGGGGCTCCGGGCATGCAGAGACTCCCACTCGCACCCCCGCGTGCCGGCTCCGCGCTGCCGCTGCCCAGGGAAATGTTTTCAAACGTGGGGCTGGCATCTCTGCACATTGCTGCAACTAGACCCAAACTGCAAACGCAGCCGGAGGGCGACGCTTGGGCAGGAGAGCGGTGGGAGTGGCAGTCCCCAAAGCTCCCTGTGCCCAGGCACGTTGTCCCCCAGGGTGATGCAGGGGTGAAGGGACCTCGTGCCATGGGAGCAGGCGGGATGTCCTGCCCGGCCACCTCCTGCACTTGGCCCTGCACATCCCACTTCTTCTTCCAGGAGTGGGAACATGGGAACAGAGGGTACGTGTAGGTGGGTTTTACAAGGGGGAGGTCTCATCTGTGCCCATCACCCCAAATCCCACTGTGCTGTTGGCATAAGAGCATCCCCAAAGGTTAAATGTGCAGCTAAACCTAACCATGGTGAGCCTGTGCTCCAGGCAATGCTGAGCGGGTCATCATTTCCCCCTGTGGATGCCACCTCGATGGCTGGGGCACCCTGGCCAGGAGCTGGGTCCGGGCCTCGGGGCTGTCACTGGAGCAGCACCTGGTGCCAGAGCGGAGCCATTCGCAGCAGTGGGATCTGTATTTGGGGAGAAGGAGGTGCGTCCATGGGGGATGCCAGCTCCCTGGCCAGCGAGGTGGCTCTGGGACAGGGCAGAGACTCTTGGCATCATCCCCCGTGTGTCAGAGGGGCCCAGCTCCCTGCTGGAGACATCCAAGCAGGTGATGAAGATGGAGAGGTTGGAGGGGAGCAGCCGAGCACACGCTGGGCAGCGCCGGCCGCTGCGGTGCCGAGCGGAGCATCCCCCATCCCGCACGTCGCGGCAGGGAGCAGCCGGGCCCCGTGCAGGCTGGGGTCCCCGCAGTCCCGGGGCGCAGGGGCTCTCAGGCTGCGCTCGCGTGCCGTGGTGGGTGCCGGGCTGTGACCACTGCAGGTRCTGCCGCAGGGACGGAGGGCAGCGCGGGGCCCGCGCAGCGGGGACGGGGTGCTGGCAGCTCCTCTCCTTGGCAGAGAAGCGTCCCCGGCGCAGCAGAGCGCGGAGAGGCGCCCGCCAAGGGCCTGGCACTGCGCTCCCCCGCCAAGCGCTCTGAGCTGAATTGCTTTTCAACCTG